ACAATCGAATTCGTTCAATTCTTAGGGTTAAAATACTCGATTCACTTTATATATTTGTAAATTTGATTTAAAAATCCAAAAGAAGTCTATTACAATTTTATTATCTTATAATTACCATTTTAAATAGATGATCAGTGAAATTATCCCGTGAAATTATCCTGCTCAAATTAATTTTCATTAGACTTCCATTAAATAAATGAGATTCATATAACTCTTCATTTTTTGGTCGCCCCATATGCCAAAACTGACTCAGTCTCCTTTCGTTATCTCCGATATTTGGCTGCTTGCCAAGAATCAGGTCGCGATCGTATTAGTCTACGCTGGCAATGCGGTAGACAACATTACTGCACGATTTCAACCGCAATGTAGTGGCATGCTAGGAAGTGGGAAGTACCTCCCTGAGCTACACGGCGTGCCGATAGGAATAAATATATTAGAATTAAATATAGCGTCTGATGCGGACGCGGTAACGCAGTAGAAACTAGGCATGGCTTGAAATAAATCCTTGGATGCAAGTTTTTATTCATTATACATATATAATTGTCGCATTACTTTACAAATGAAACTAAAATAAAATTAATCCTTCGTGATTAGAGAAAGAAATTATATTAAAATATTTTTTTTATATTTTGATATGTTTTTGAGATAACAGAAAATAAAAAAGAACCAAAAAATTCACTCTCGTACAAATTCACAATTTTGTATGATTTATCGAATGATTATTTACATAGTATTCATATCAGCATCGAAAGGATTAAATTAAAAAATCAATTGTTTAAACTAATATTTCGAGACGACACGTAATTTTCCGTATTCGTTACTGCACGTACAATTTGCCCTACAATTTGCAAATTGTTGAATCACATCCGAAATTCCGGGGCCCAAGAATATATAGCGTGGGAAACGCGTGATCATTTTGGGTAATCGCACAGCGAGGGGCATTCTTTTTCGTCGATGCCTATGGCAAACTGTTCGCCGTGTCGGTAAAACTTTTGTCCGAATAAGCGTCAGGCCGGACTGCTGCATTTTGGACAGACTCTTTTCTAGTTAGTGCAGACCAATACCCCAGGGCATAATTTTTTAATAAGCATCTTCGAAGAGTCTCGTGCTGACGCTAGCGTTCTCGTATTCGTGAAGGAGGATATTTTTACGTGCCCGAGTGTGTGTGTGGTGAATCGCCCTCACAGCGATATTATTCACTATTCTTGCTTCGAGCGACGTCACGGCCGTATAATTATTAAGAGCTATTAAGCCATTTATTGATATACTTCCGATATCTAAATTATGCGCTTACCATTTTTATAGCTTCGCTGCGAAGTGATTTTCGCAATGCGGAAAGTTCAGCTTCGTGATTTTCCCGTTGAGCTCGTATCTCAGCGATGCGAGTTTTCTCGGCATTTAAAGCGATCTAAATGTACAAATATCTCTTATAAACGAGAACTATATCATAAAAGGAACGACGTTTATTGTGAACGCAATAAATCAATGACAAACTTGTTAAAATAAATCAGAAATATATCAGAAGTATATAAAAAAAAATATATATTTATATAATATAACTGTAATTATTAAAATAATCAATATTTAGCATTAAAGTTGATCACTTATAAATTTAAGTTTTAAAATCTCTCTAAAGTTTAAACTCTACAAATTTAAAAGATTAAAGGATTGGCTCTTACACGCAATTTCTCTTCGAGTTTCTCGTTTTCTGCGCGTAAATTTCGTATTTCAGCTTCCAGACGGCGCGCATCACCGTAGGAAGAAGTATTATTGGTACTGCGAGTAGTGCTCGCTTGTGATTTCACCAATTGTTCGAGTCTTCGTATCGTGCCCTCAGCTTCGACTAAGCGTTTTCTGAGAGTTGATAATTCACGCTTGTGGTTCTCGTCTTTCACGGGATCCGATTTGAATGACGGCGACGGTGACGGCGATGGCGACGCAGATTGAACGATCCTGACAGAAAATATTACCTTCGATACTTTTTTTAATAACACCAATTATTTAATAGTCTTCAAATTCAAGTTCAAAAATTACAAATGAATTTTTAGACCACCATGAATTTTTAGACTTGAGAACCGAAACTGTTATGAGAGAAATAAAAAAGATTGAGGACATATAAGCTTCAGGCAAGAATACCTATACTTTACCTGGTTTTTAATTCGGCTATGATTGATTGATACTTGGCAGCCTCAGCAAATCTGGCTTCTCTGAGAGCAGTTTCAAACTCTCTCTTGGCAATTTTTGCCGCCCTTCGCTCTTCATGTAGTTCGGTTCGTACGTTCGCCAGGTCCTCACGTAACCTTCTCGCACCTTCCTCAAGCCATTGTATCGTTTTCCTTAATCTAGTCGCATCACTTGTTCTCACGCCTGTTTCGCAAGATTGTGACATTCGAACATCTTGTGAATTTATCGGAACAGTTTGATCCTTTTTTCTCAGGCGTGGCTGTGACGAGTCTTTTTTGTCTTCTATGTGCTGAGCCCTTCTTTCGCTGGTTGCTTCGCTGAGGGTGAAAAGGTAAGAAATTGCATCGTGTGTTAGAATATATAATTAATTTCAAATAATATTCTCTGATTGACCGAACTCATATTTTTTTTTTGGATGCGAATCATAAAATCCAGTTAAATCCAGGACATGATTATAGAAATAATTATAGTAATTGCAGATATTTTTCGTTTCAATATTTACGAGAGTACTTTTAAGTTTATGAAAAGAAACCTTAAATTTGTTACGTAGATATTTCTATATTTATTATGGTAGCTATAATTTATCTCTTCTAAATTTTTACAATTTAAATTATTTCTTTGAAACATTTTCTTTGATTCAAAGAATATTTTTACTTCACTGAAGCGTTAAGAATTCTGAAAATACTTGCATGATAATTTTTTTCTTTTCTGTATATATAATTAAAACTTTTTCTTTCAATAAATATTTTTTTAATTACATGTCGTTGATGCATTTTTTAATACACTGATAATTAATGGTAGATACGTATTATACGTGAAATTTTGCATTGTAAATATTCTTACGCATAGAAGTTGTACGACTCGTCGCGTCGCTGCGTTTTCTCAGGGATCTCCGAATTCGTTGTCAGAGATTCCAAGCGTCGTCGTTTTCTCGCACCCTCCTTGGGTGTGAGAATGTTGATTCCAGTTGTCGTTGATTTGTTCGTGTTCGTCGGCTTGACGGTGTCTCCCTCTGAGGAGCTTGCCATCGTCTCTAGTAAAAAAAAAGCGCAGGTATTTATAAACTTGTTCAAACGTTTATATATAATACACATGTATATCTACATATATATATTAGATCTTCTAATGTAAACGTATTTAATTAGAGAGCTACAAGAAAGAGCATCATTTCCATTCTTAAGAACATTTTATGAACACAAATTTAAAAATAATCATACTTCAATAATATAAATCATTTTATATGCAAAATATTAAATTGCAATTAAGAAAATGCCTTTCATCATTGCTAATCTCATCTCGTAAATCACAAAACCTCGAAAATTTGACATTTAAAATTCTGAGCGAGTTGAATTATTTTATTATCACAATCAGAATTATAGTAATTGTTAATATTAAAAGTTTCCACTTTAGACACTTTGTTATAGGTTTTAAATAATTAATAAAAATAATACTTCCATTATAAAAGGCTGCTAATGGGATTGTTCAAAGCGGAACAATAAATCCTTTTATGATGAGTATATTAGATATTATTTCCAATACTTCAGTATAAGATGTGCATTAATGCTTATTATCTTAAATACCTTTACTTTATAGAGAGGACATGGAGAGTCAAGAGTGTTTTTTTTTTCAATTGCTCTAATTAGATGAATTCTCTAATTAAGCCTTTCAACGTTTCAGAATCCATGCAACGATAATAGAGTCGGAATTTCATGTAATTGAAGTAAATTATAGTTTTGAATCTCACGTAACACTTTATTAATTATTTGTTATTCGATGAAAGTGGAAACGCCCCATTCCATCTGATAGTCACGACAAGCTAAAAGCTGCTAGTGAACAAGAATCGCCACAAAAATGGACTTACCGTTTTTCTTGAGGACGTAAGAATATCTTAGTCGACCAATCGGACTCGCCGAGTATATTGTTGGATTCGGCACAGCGGCGAATCCTCCTCGCGAGAGACACCGTCGCCAACTAAGAGAGGCTGAGGCCCTAAACTACACTACGGCTTGCGGTCGCTATATGTGCTAATCGCGTCATCTCGTCTCTTTGGCTCTATTTAGCTCTCATCTCTCCTGTCTCCTCGCCGCGTGTATCGCCCACTCACTCTAAGTTTGACCAACTGGCCGTCCACGTCCGCTTTCATCTGCACGAACTTTAGTGGCGCTCATTCTCGACAAAGTTCCTCGATCAAAAAGGGAGCTCTTTGTATTTTAATATAAGTTAATCGAAATATCTAATAAATAGTCTAAATATACATGTCTAAATATATATGTCTAGTCTACATGATGATGTTGAAGCTTATTATTTATTGTGAACGTTCTAGCATGGAGAGTGAAAGCTTGGGTCATCGTTTCCAATCAACCTCTCATTCAATCAAACATTAAATTGACTTGTTCATTATGAGCAATATTCCTTCTATAAAATATATTTGTTTTTTTAAATCATTTAATACTGCTGATAGTCTAAATACTCTAAATAATTATTGTATTTATGTTTATACATATTTAATTAATGATATTTAACCCTTATCGTACCAATATGCGTAACTAGTGACCGAGCGATTCCTGTTCGTGCAAGTTTCTTTGAGTCTTTCGGTAATTATAAATTATACTACATCTTATTATTTTCCAAAATAAAGAGTCAATATTTATTCTAGAAAGTTGAAAGTATATTGGTGAATTTTTAGAGATTTTTTAAATTATTTTGAAGAGATGAAAAAACGAAGAGATTTGAAGTGACCGTTGATGGTATGGATGAGGCACCAAATTGTAGATGGTACGGTAAGGGTTAATTATAACGCATATTTGAAGGTGGTGAAGGTATATTTCCTTTGTAAATTAGGGAATGGTCGTAACAAAATCGCTATCAAGTGAGCCAGGGCCTCTAGGCCCGGTCCACTGGTCCACATCCCACGCTGCTGATAAGGGATGAAGAAGGGATGCGGATCGGCCGTTAGCTCGGTACTAGCGAGAGAGGTCCGAATCGCGTGGGGTGCGGCGAAACTAGAGGAGAGCACAGCTATCGATCGATATGTGGATAGCGACGCCTGTGCAGTGAGCGAGCCCGAGCCACGATCGACAACCGTAGAGCCCAGGGGAAACAATCGTGTCGTCTCTTTGACGTAGCTCGACGCGCTCGACTACGCGTGTGAGAACGGCGAGTGTGGACAGTGGTTGTTGTTCCCTTTCACGTGCTCCCGCCGGCGATTCCGTGGCTCGCCGTATCTCTCTCGCGTTCCTGGCTGAGGGTCTTCTCCTTTAAGTGAACTCTCCGTTGGAGCCACGCAGCCGGCTGACAGATTCGCCGTTCACGACGGCGGCATCCTCGGCACGGCGAAACGCGTCGTCATGTGGCTGACAGTGCGAGATACATTAGGTGCGTCGAGAGTCGTGAATATTCGTGCGTATTTATAGAACTGCGCCGGTCCTTCACTTTTGTTATCGGAGCCTGCCATCGCTGACGATGAGTTTACAGCGACGCTTTAATAATCACGATGAAAATCAACTCCGAAAAGAAAGCGCGATTCTAGCGCAGTTTTAATATAAACTGGCTAGACGCACATATTGTCTGTAGTCCCATTTAATTAGCGCAGCTCGTGACGTGTATAGTCGTGCTAATATAACAGTTTAGTTTATGACTATGTCTAGTCTACAGGAAACCTGCGGAGGCAAGTCAAGTAGAACATAGTTACTCGCATATTTTTTATTAATGAGAATGAGTTTGCAGAAAAACAGTACAATGAAGAGATTAATTTTTTAATGGAACCAGAAGTTTTTGAAAAGCGTAAAATAATTAAATTGATGTTAAATTTAAAAAATTGAAGAATATGAATTTTATTTTTAAAATTGTTCACATTTAATGGAAAGTATATATATTTAAACTGGAATAATTTAAATAGTTAAAATGAAAAGTTTCTTATGATTTTTATATTTATTAGAAATATAACATTTCATTTGAAAAACACAGAAAGTGTCAAAATGTTTTCAATTTTTTAACTTTGCCATACACTGTTAAGAAAAATATTTTTTTATATAATATTCTTTTAGATTTTTAATACATATATCAATGGCTGTGCCAACTTTCTATTAAGTATCCTTTGTCAAAGTTAATGTTAGAGAGAGATTTGATAATTAAAAAACATATGGCTTTAATTTATTCGATTTGCGCTGGATGACACGTATGACACACTAAATGGCCGAGAAAGTCAATATCTGGCTGATGAAGGCATGTATCGAAATATCAATCTTAGGAAAAGTTCTTGAACCTTGACTTCAGAATATAATATATAATTATCGATTACGTAGCTATGTTGATGTCCATACATCATTTGTAACGATACTTCACTTTTAGCTGACTTCGGCTTAGAAATTGCTTTTTTCTGCAATATAGAAAGGAGAATTAAAAGTTAAACTCAGGTTATAGTTAATCGATTCTGAGATAGAGTTAGAAATAGATAGGCAGAAAGAGTGGGAGAGAAAGGTGATAGGAAAGATGGGAAGAATAATATAATATTAAATTTCATATTTTGTGTGTGTATATTTATCATCGAATTAAATGTTAGAAATTTTTATAACTTTCTTAATGTGTTATACGAAACATTAATTTAAAAAACAGGTTCTTTAAAAAGTTAAAAAAATATGTTAATTGTCCTTTAAAAAAACTCCGAACGAAAGTTATTATTTATTGCACTTTCTCAATATTAGATATTTTAATGATTACAATTTGAAAATTATTTCACGAAAAGTCTGTTTGATTTTACGTAATAAATTTATTTTAATTGCATGCGCGTTAAAAATATGCTTTGTAGAAAATAAAGTGTTTGGAGTAATCGTTTGTTCAAAGTGTTTGAAAATGTCTACGTTTCATATTTTGTTTTAAAAAACATGAAATTTAATATTAAAATTTTAATATTAAAAGATTTAAATATATCGCTACTTTTATTAAATAATATTTTGATTTTGAAAAGAGTTACTTATTAGTAAACAATAAATAACAGTAATATTAACGCCATGTTATAATTTTCTACACTGAAAAAAAAGTTATAGCTACCAAATATTGAGTGAAATAGTTTCAACTAAATGTTGAGGTAATATAATTAAACATAAGTTTAC